CACAGTGTGAATGAAATTGGGCTCAACTGACACTTTTGTAAAGGCTAACCAGCACAAAGCCATTCTCAGTAGGCTTACTTAATAGCATTTATACTGTAAGGTCAACTGACTCTTACCTATCAGAGTGCAAGACATCTCAATGAGTACAGTCCAATTAAAAAATGGGCAAGGAACCTGAATAGACACTTCTCCAAAGAGGACATTCAGATGGTGGATAGACATATGAAAAGATGCTTAAACATCACAAACCATCAAAGAAATGCAAATAAAAACCACCGCACAACAGTCAGAATGTCTATAATCAATAAACCAACAAACAAATGATGGAGAGGATGTGGAGAAAAGGGAGTCCTTGCTCACCGTTGGTGGGAATGCAGATTGGGGAAGCCACTGTGGAAAGCTGCATGGAGTTTCCCCCCAAAATTAAAAACAGAATGTCTTATGACCCAGCAATTCCATTTCTGAAATATATCTGACGAAACCAAAAACAGATTCAGAAAAATAAGTGCATCCCTATGTTCACTGCAACATTATTTACAATACCGAAGATTTGGAAGCCCATCAGTAGGTGAGTAGATTAAAAGAAAAAAAAAAAAGCTGTAGAATACTACTCCACCATAGAAAAAGAAGGAAATCTTACCTTTTGCCACAGCATGAATGGACCTGGAAAGTATTATGCTAAGTGAAATAAACAAGTCAGAGAAAGACAAATACCATATGATTTCAATTACATGTGGAATCTAATGAACAAAATAAACTAACATAATATTGGGTTGGCCAAGTTCTTTTTTTCCATAAGATGGTTCTAGTAGTGCTTAATTGTCTTTAACTTCATTGAAACAATTTTGTTAGATTGTATTGTGACGACTGTCATATCAGCATGCATTTTTTTAAAAAAAATCAAAATTGGTGAATTTTTGTGTAGCCGTTTTAATATTGAAGATGGAAGAAAATACATAACATTTCAGTATATTATGCTTTATTATTTGAAGAAAGGTAAAAACGCAACTGAAATGCAATGTGCAGTGAATGGAGAAGGTACTGTGACTGAATGAATGTGTCGAAAGTGGTTTGCAAAGTTTTGTGCTGGATATTTCTTGCTGGATGATGCTCCACCATCGGGTAGATAAGTTGAAGTTGATAGCAGTCAAATTGAGACATTGAGCTCAATCAATGTTATCCACGTAGGAGAGAGCTGACATACTCAAAATACCCAAATCAAGAAAGTTACTGGTGAAAATGAAAAAAATGTCTTATTTTACAGAAAAAACTATATGGACTTCTTAGCCAACCCAATACAAACAGATCCATAGATAGAGAGAACAGACTGACAATTCTCAGAGGGGAGGGGGGTCTGGTGAATTGGGTAGAAAAGGTGAAGGGATTAAGCAAAAAACTCCCTGAAATGCATACGCACAACACTATAGGAATTACCAGAGGGAAAGAGGTGGGGTGTGGGGGGAATTAGAAAAGGGTAAAAGGGGGATAAATGGTGACAGAAGACTTGACTTTGGGTGTTGAACCCACAATATGCAGATGCTGTATTATAGAACTGTACACCAGAAACCTATATAATTTGTTAACCAATTATCACCCCAATAAATTCAATATAAATTAAAAAAAAAAAGTATTGGTCAATGGTTCTAATTCAGTAAATGGCTCTAGGGCTATTTCTTTATGCTGAGCATGACATAAAGTGCTCAGAATGAGCAGGAGAAAGAACAAAGTGTATAGTACAGGAGCTAGTAATCTGGTGACTTAAAATACAATCACCAAACTTTAAAAACTAAATTCTGAAACTAAGAGGTAAGATTAAAAACAAAAGAGAAATCCTTACCTTTGTATAATAATTAATCCTGATTGCCAAAGCAGTCCTTAACCTTAGGAGTTTGCTTTAAAAGGGGACAGGTTGGTGTGTGTTGGGTGGGGGGTGGGGGTGGGTGGGTGTGTGTGTGTGTGTGTGTGTGTGTGTGTGTGTGTGTAACTCTTATTCATCTTTAGTGTCTGGCTCAAGTACCTCTGTTACAAGGGCCAAAATATTGTTTCTGGTTTTTATTTCTTTTTACTATTATATCCAAACAATAATAATTTCACTTAGTGGTGACTGTATATATAAACGTTCTTTTCTGCTTTGCTTCGATAACCCATAATTATTTAAAAAATCTAATGAATTAATGTCAGTCTGACTCCAATCAAAATGACAATGTATGGAAAGACTGTATCCCATTATGGATACAGGCCTCTAAAAATTAATGACTGGGGTGACTGGGAAGGCCATGGAATCTCATACAGGCATTTAACAAAAACAAACAAACAAACAAATAAATCTCTTTGCTCTAGCTAAGGGTATGTTTCTTTATCAGTTTTCTTCATATCTATGCCTACTTGTGAAGCCCCTAATCCCACCCCACTGCACCAAAATCTTTTGATCTTGAAACTTTATCAGTGAATCTCCTCTTAGAAAGAGAAATTCATGCTACTCAATAGGCTTAACATTCAGAATTTTAAATTTAAAAAAAACCCCAAATATATTTTATAATTAACCAAGTCTTTTGGATAAAGAACATTCATCCCCAGAGAGACCTCCTGCACTCCATTGATTTTCCTTTCTTATCCTATCAAATAGTCACTGATAGCCATACACAAATAGTAAAAGTCAAGAGCAGAATAAATAATATGCTGTTAACCTAGTGATTTACATAAAATTCAGCAGTCTCATGTATTAAACCTTCTCAACACTGGTGTCACACAATCAATGTCTTCAGATTGTCTGAGATTTAATATGAACATCAATTTAAAATGTGTCAAGTCATCAAGGTAACAAATACCCGTGTACCATATATTGCTACTGTTTTCCTCCCTTATAAAAAAACAAGATAGTCTTACTCCCAAATGATACAGGAATCCAGTCTCTTTCACTGACATAAAAAGAATTCATCTTGGAAAGAACTGCAAAATCCAGTGCTTTAATATCACAAAATCACTCATTCCTAATGATATTTTATCTTTCATTATACCTCAGAGTATAAGATCTATGAATAGTTGGGATTCAAGGTACATCTGAATTTCAACACTTTGATATTTATTTTCTTTCCCCTTTACTTGCTTATTAACTGATGCTCAACAAAACTTTCAAAAAGATCTTTAATCAAGCTTCTGAAAGAACTTCATTGCTAGAATTGTCATTATTACGCAGGGAAAATAACAGTGACAGCAAGTGTTCAATTTCACAAAATGAAATCACTAGCAGCCTGAGAATCTAAGACTGATTCAGGACAGTCCACTTGATCACAAATAACAGGGGCAAAGAATCTTTTCCGAGTCTCACTATACCCTGGTACCCATTTTCTCTCCCTCAAATCATTTTCACAGGGTCATATCAGCTACGTGGATTAAGAGACTCTCCTAGTGATGTAGCAAAGATAAAATTGTGATGTAGCAAAAATAAAATCAGATTCTTACCATGGCTTCTAAGTTTAGTAGCTACTGTTGCTTTTTCTTCTAAGCTCTCTGCTGCTTCTAATACATACCTGATCTGCCTGGGGACAATGTAAAGGCGGCTGTTTCTCTAAGACCTGTCAGCCTGTCTGTTTCTCTGGTGTATGAGGCTGTGGGAGGGGATACTGCAGGGGAGTAGTAAATACATTGATAAGTCTCCTAGGTTTATCAGTGGTAGCACACTGATGAGAATGAACTTTAAGCTATGAATAGAATTCCTTCCAGCCATTTCTTTTCAAAAAGGAATTCTGTGTGCCTCATAGAAATAAAATCCTTAAGTAACTCAAGAAAGCTTGAAAATAAGAAAATAGAAGATAATCACTCCATTTTATTGACTGGAGTTCACAAAAATCCAGAGTATTAAAGTATTCAGGCAGATCATGAAATATACAACTGTCACAATGAAAAGCATTTCAGAGCAAAATGTGCTGCAATATGCTACTATGATTAAAAGCTATGTAATCTGGGGAACCTAACAAAAAGAACTAGGCAAATAGCTTTCTACATACTTTTCTAACAAGGAAAGGCTGCAATATTGTCATAGTTAAACAAAGATAGGTATGTCTTTCATCTTTATCTAGTATTAAAGCATTTTCGTCCATATGTATTTAATTACATTAAAAGAAATCACACATGATTTAATACCAAGAATAAACTTATGATGCTATTACAAGTGTTTTAATTCTGAATACATCGTAATACATATGAAGGGTAATCAGCACATACTCTTTAAGCAGAAAAGATCCTCTTACAGCTTTCCTTGTACTTTTTTATTTACTTTTTTTAGTGTACAAATATCACCAGTGACAACTGAGAGAATTAGGAGCAGCAATGAAGTACACCATATGTTCGCGCTGTAGGCTAAGTCTCGGTCTTTGTTCCAAAATTCTAGAGCCACTGGAAGGAAAGCTAAGTGCCCATATATTAAAACATATTTTTACATTATTGCTGGCAAAAGTTACACTTCTGATAGGTTTAGTCATCTTGATTATTCCTGCCTGCATTTGCTTCTGAAATACAGATCTCTTTCAATTCTAGGAACCTGCAGTACAACCACCCTGGAAAACAGGTCGGTAGCAGGATAATCTGATAAAACATAAAGGGTAGACATTGAAGAATGCAAAGTTATTTTCCTAGTAAAAGAGTTCTGAAGTAATTCTGTATCAATGCAATTTTTTTGTAACCAGCTACGCACCTATCCAGATAACATTCACCTTGTTCTCAATTAACAGGATTTCCCTCAATCTTAGAATCTCCCAGAACAGTTTTCAAGGCACAACTCAAACCAAAACCCCTAACCACGCCCTTTACAGAGTCAGGCCACCTTTTGCTCGGGCCCCCCGCCCCCAAAGTCCAAAGATGTACATTTCACCTAAAAGGGTTTGCACCAGTTCTCTAACCCGAGTCAGAGACTCTTTATAGCCGTGCCTGGATATAATTCCTGCTGGAAGGCGTTTTCTCCGGGGCAACGTGCAGATGCCAGAAGAGACACCCACGCTTACCTCCCACACACCTGCAACCCCTGGCGGGATGCGGGAGCTGATGCTCAGACGACTGCGCTCCGCTCCGCTCCCGTTCCTGTTCTCCTCTCTCCCGGGAAACTACAGTCCAGGCTGCGCCTTCGGCAGCTACAGGGACAAAAGCTCCGCCTCCCCCTCCTCCAGTTGGCGAATTCGGCAGCTGTTGCTCCTCCCCCTACATGTTCCCGCCGCTGCCGGGGCCGGAGGCGGCGGGAAGCTGCTGCCCGTACCTTTCCGATCCCTGCACTCTCGGAGCTGTTCTGCCGCTTTCCTTTCCCTGGGGGCCCCTCGCTCTCACTCCGTGGCCTCACACCTGGAGCTGCCCCCCGCTCCGCCCGGATGCCTCCGCGGGGAGGACAGGCACAACCTATCCCACCCGACTCGCAAGTCTGGCCGCCCGATCTGTCCGGAATTCGGCCGCCTTCGTGGAAGCTGCTCCTCCGGCTACGGAGCATTCTCCACACTGCACCCTCCCTAATCCTCGGCGATTGCCCCAGTGCATCCACCGGTCAGCAGCTCCACGTTCCCGAACTCGAACTCTCCCCTCCACCCCGTTTCCCTTCCTCAGCTCCGCTAGCCCGCCCCCACAATGGGTGAGTCGCCGCGGGGCCGACCCCGCACCCTGATTGGAGCAGGTGAGAGCTGACCCCTCCCTTCCTCCTCTTTGCTTGCACCCTCTCTCTTCAATTTCACCTCCTCCCGCAAAGGCATGGAACTCTCCTACTATTGGCCAGAAGTGTCCCCACCCATCGCTTTAGGCTCAACCGCGCGTCCTTTCGGGAATTGTAGTCTTGCATGTGCAGAAATTGCCGACGACGTTGGCGAATGGGACTACGAGTCCCCATAGGCCTCTGCGCGCTCCGGCTGAGCAGGATTCCGGACAACGCCTGGTTCCTCTCGGGTCCTTCCGGCGTCGCCGGAGTGAATTGATACGAGTTGAAGAGGGCTCCAAGGTGCGAAGTGAAGTCAGTGCCTCAGTTGCCGGTAAGGTGTGGCTGTTCTGTTCCAGTTCCTGTAACCCTGCGCAGAGCGCAAGAGGTTTGGGATCACACTAGGACCGTGGCTGAGGCACTCGGGCTTAGTTCTGGCAGGCGGAGCGGACGGGGCTGGGAACGGGGCCCTATGGGCGTAAGCGAGGTTATCCTACGCGAGTGGCGTAAAGCGGGTTTGTAAATGCCTCCTGCCTTGCTCGGGCCCGAACGCCTCCAGGAAGTCTCCTCTAGGTAGGGGCTGGAGGGGAAGGGCGAGGTTGCCTTCTGGTGCCCCCGGAGAAGGGAGAGGGCGGATGTGCCTGGGGTGGGGTTCTCTGAAGGTGTGGTTGTGGAGGGGAGATGTTTTTTCCCTGCTTTAGAAGTTCGAGAGGGAGGACTGGAGGAAGGAAAGGACGCTTGGGAGTCTGTTCTTGGGGTGACTCAGGTTATGCCCTCTGAAGAACGAGAACTGTAGATGGAAGAGTCAAATGTTGACAGATCTCCTGATTTCAGTGGCAGTTTCTTGTTGTGGACCGTCTAAGGAGATAATTGTGCCCTAAGCAGAAAACCTTAACCCTCTTAGTTGGAATTCCTGAGATAGGTGTGCACCTTTAACTGTGTTCAAAGAGCATAGTGATGAGGAAACTGAGAAGATAAATGACGTGCCCAAGGTCACACACAGAGGGACAGATCTGAATTTAATCTTTGTAGCCCAGTTTCTGAATCAGAGCTGCTGCACCAGAAAGAGAGTTCGTGTGTTTTTTGAAGAGAATGGAAAAAGCTGCAAAGTAATTCATTTTATGTATTTTTAAGAAGCAATTTGTGAGGTGTAGACTTTTTGAACTTGGGAGAAATTCCTCCATTAAAAAAAAAAAAAAAAAGGACGCGCGCTCTAACCTCTTAGATAAGAAAATAAGCGGTTTCAACTTACACATTTTTTTCTTTTATTAGGAGTATATTAAGTGATGGACTGTACTACTGGTTTAAACGGTAGATAATGATACCGGAGAACGTCAGTTAAAACAGTATATCCCATCCCTTAAAGACAATTCTTTTTTCCTTTCTACGTTAGGACTGTTTTTCTTTTTTTCTCTCATTTTGTAAAACTGATAATAGGATTGGAATTCTTCAAAACTTACTTTGCACTTTCTAAAACTAACGCAGTATCAAGAGAGTTTAGTGTGATCATTACTAGAAAAGAATATACATTGCAGTTCTTGGAGGCATTATCACATTTTTGTTAACTTTTTTTAAAAAAGCTTTTCCCTTCATTTTCTTGACTCTTGAATGTTTGTGTAAATAACATCAGTCTCCTGCATATTTTTGTTTCCCTGGTGTCACCTGTGATTTTTAATTCATCCTTAAATTAAAGCATGGAAAAATGGGACATTTATGTTTTATATTGAGTAGAAAGTGGTGTGCTTGTTCCAGTCTTAGCTCATGAGTATTATTGGGTGCTTCTTTGATAAAATTTTGGAGTCTGTTCTTTGCCATCAGGATTTCTTCGTGGTAAGTTTGTAAACAAGAATCAGGTCTCTAGTGATAGCAGGTAATGAGTCATGGTTTACTGTTGTATAAGTTAACCACTGAAATATGCTGCATTGTGAATGTACTTTTGCAGTTACTAATGTTATCACTATCACCTTTTGAATACAGAAACACTTTGTAAGATCAGAGGTATTACATTTTCCTTTGGACTGAAGTTAACATAGTCTGGAAATTACTTTGGCATTTAAAATAGAGAGGTGTGATACTGTAGAGTGAACTAAAATCAGGAATAATATAACACCATGAGTAATGCAGTATGCAAAGAAGGAAGAACAACTAATAAACAAGTGGAAGATTATGTGGAGGATAACTGTTTTTATGCTAAATTGCAAGGGTGCGATAGTTTAAGTAGCTCATAAGCTGAACATCAGTGAGTGATCGTAAGGCAAGAATGTTCATGTATTTTGTAGATGGCAATGTAAGCATTTACTTTTTGTCGGGAAAAGTGTGAAATGAGTTTTTCTGCCTTTTGCCATGTAGCTCTGAGGTTGTGAAATGAGCTTTTGAACTAAAAGGAAAATTTGGAAATCCAGTTAGTGAATATAAAATACACTTGTTCAGCATGTGTTTTTTTTTTTTTGTCCTTGGTTCAGTTCTTCCACTAACTTCTTTTAATTTCTGAGTTTGTTTTGATATTTTACCCACGTTGCAATGGTGGAGTAACATTTCTGTTACATTTCTTTTATTACCTTTGAATCACATGCTGGAGCTTTGTGCTTATTTTGGGTATCTGCATATACCCAATAACCTAAGGTTCACAGGGTTATGTGTGCACTTGTATTTTTATAGTGGTTTTGCAGGAGCCTCGTGCCAGCCTGTGAACATCATCATTTTCAGGATTTAGGATGTCTCCCATTTACTTGTATCATTTTCTTTTTAAGGGTAAAAGGTCATAAGAACAGGACTGTATATTAGCATTGTATTTTCAGTAGGTAAATTATTGAGTACCTGTTTACAAAGAGAATAAAGAGGTTCAGGTTAAGTGCAAGGGCATGTAACTGGTCACTGGTGGGTACAAGGCATTATCCAGGACTTCTTTCTCCAGATTTTGAAAATTGTTGTCTCAGTACCCTTAGGTTACTTATTTTTACATGAGAAAAAGACTTCAAATGACTTAAATATTTAGACACTGTTACAGTTACTCTGTTTTATGTTGACAATTTATCTTTTGTCCCCTAGGCAGCTCTTGATCCTCATACCCAGTCTTTCTCATTTACTGCACCTTTCAATTATCCTATACACAAACTCCTTCCTGACTCAGGGGCCTTTAAATATGTTCTGTTCCCCCCTACCTGGACTGCTTCCCCCCCCTTCCCAAATATGGCCAACTCCTAGTTAATTTTCAAGTCTCAGTTTAAATGTCATTTGTCAGGGGAATCTTTCCTGACCTCTTTGAACTTCCTTCCTAAAATTAGAGCAAGTTTCATGATACCATCACCATGCATTTCTCTTTATAGCGTTATCACAATAGGAACCTAACTGTTTCTGTACTAGATTAATAAGCTACCTGGGCAGGGCACTATCATTTGTCAGGTGCCTTACTTCACTACTTATACAGTATCGGGCACAAAGTAAGTGCCCAGTACGTATTTGCTGAATGAATGAGTAAGTGATTGAACAAGTGCGTTCATGCACAGTGTCTCCAGCCCTCTGCTAGGGACAGAAATACAGAAATGGGTAAAATAGATACCCATCCCACCCTTAGATAAAAAGGAGTCATTGAAAGAAGTTTAATATAAATTGTAAAAAGCTGTTCTTTCTTGGAGGTCTCTAACATCAGAATACTTTTCTATGAGCAAATGACAAAGGAGTCATTTTCTAGTGCAGCAAACTTTATAACAGCATTTTGGAGAACTTACTGCTATCCTGTTTTTTGCAAGCAACATTCATTATAACAAAATTTAGACATTTAAGAAACTGTTACTGGATTCTATTCTTCCCTAATGTTACCTCATTTTACCCTTAACAAAATCTGTTTCCTTTTAACTTTGTTATATCCTTTTGCTTTTTAACCATAGCATCTTCCTTTGAATTTTACCTTTAATATTGTCTGCTTTAGACAGGTGCCTTTGTAAAGGTGAGTAGTGCTTGTTCCAAAGGAACTTATATTTCGGGCTTCTTGAAAAACTTCATATTTCAATAAGTTTTATGATAATACTTTATTTGCTTTTATCCTAGATACTTAAGAGAGTAAAGAGATCATCATCTTAAAAACATGAAAACTAAATTTCAGGAATAAATTGCATTAGGTCCTGGAAACAAACTCTCTTAACCTTTTGCAGTACTATAGTAATGACATAGAATGAACTCAACAGCTCTGTGTTGCTGTAGGCGTATGTGCTTTCATGAATTTGCCAGTTCATTCTCCCACAAGATATTGTCAAAAAAGTGATGGCTTTAAAATTTGATCATGCCCCCTGTTTTTATTACTAAATATAAGTCTTTGATAAGTCCTAAATTTACTTTTTTAAAAGTCTTTCTGTTATTGAATCTTAGATTAAAAAAACAATTCATATTTACCTATCATAATATGTGGAGGATAAAACTGAAGTAGTACTTATATGTTGCTGGCTCCTTAGGGTCATAATG